GTAGATGAATTGCCAAATGCTCCATCGAATCAAAAAATGCTGGAGGAAATACTTTCTCTAACTTGCAAATGGTCTCCACAATTTTTTCCTCCCACATCTCCATGTTACTAACTTGAATAGTTGGAGCACATAAAGCTCTAAAAAAGTTGCTAACATTAGTTAAAGGACCCCAAACTGCATCTATAAGATAATCACGAAAAGCAGTTGGCAAGAGACACTGCATAAATACATGACAATCATGACTTTTCATTCCAAACAATCGAAAATCATGCATTTTCACACAGCGTGCTATGTTGGATGCGTACCCATCTGGGAATCTCAAATCCTTCAACCACTGACAAACAAGAGCTCGTTGCTCTCGAGTAAGAACATATGTAGCATTGGGTTTTAAAGCCATTCCATCATGTTGAGGGATCAATTCCAATTCAGGTCTATTGCAATACAGTTGCAAATCCATTCTAGCATTTGTATTATCTTTCGTACAACCCTTGTCATCCATAACAATATTCTTAATATTATCAAAGAAATTCTTTTCACAATGCATAACATCAAGAATATGACGAATTAATGAATCCTTCCAATATGGTAGTTCCCAAAATATACTACGTTTCACTCAATTATGGGAAACACCAAATCCCGGGATGGATTGTTTGCAAAGTGACTGGCCAAAGATAATTTATGGCAACTGGTTAACCCGCTCCTCCATTAAATGACCATCTAGTCTTGGGGGGGTGGGCTTATTTCGATTCTGTTTACGTAGAAATTTTTTTTATCTCTACGAAACAGATGTGGAGGTGGATACTGACGATGACAATCAAAAAATGAAATTTTCCTCCCAAATTGAAGTTGAAAAGCCTTAGTATTCTCCATGCAATAAGGACATGACAACCTCCCATGTGTGCTCCATCCAGACAACATGCCATATCCTGAAAAATCACTTACAGTCCATAGCAGTGCAGCTTTCATGATAAAATTATGTTTTCTAAAGCTGTCATAAGTTTCAACCCCATTTGTCCATAATTCATTAAGTTCATCAATTAATGGCCTAAGTAGCACATCAATATTTTTCCTTGGACTTTTAGGTCCAGCAATTATCATGGACAAAAAATATATGCTCCGAATTCATGCACAATTCAGGTGGAAGGTTATAGACTGTAAGGAAAATAGGCCAACAAGAGTAAGCTGATCTAGAAGGGCCAAATGGATTGAAACCATTAGTGCACAACCCAAGTCTAACATTTTTAGGTTCTTTAGCAAATGTTGGGTAAGTTTTATCAAAGTGCTTCCATGCTTGACTACTTGCAAGGTGAATAACTTCATTAGAATCATCACTACATTTCAAATGCCATGTCATATGTTCCACCGTTTTCTTAGACATGTATAACCACTGCAATCTAGGGGTAATTGGAAGATACCACAAAGATTTTCTCAAAATTGCTTTCTGCCTCACTATAGCCATGTTCCTCGGCTCATAACGAGATTCTCCACACACCAGACAAGTATTTAAATTCTTGCTTTGCTCACCATAGTACAAGAAACAATCATTGATGCAAACATCAATTTTCTTGTACCCAAGTCCGAGCACATTTATCATTTTTTTAGCACTATAGAAATCTTTCGACACCTTTTCTTGATCTTCTACACTTAACAATTTTCGACTCAATGCTAATGCCATCTCCCAATTAGCAGCACTGATATTATAAAGAGTCTTCATGTTTAACATTTCTGCTATCCATGAAAGAACAGTCACATTATGCTCCCCATTACTTATATAAACTTCTGCAGCATGTAGAAGTTCATAAAATTTTCTTGCCTTATGCTTTGGCTCCTCAGCCATTGGCTCCTCATTGTATTCACCTTGCAAACCCATTGCATCAACTAACATTTCATGATAAATTCCATCCGACTCATTTCTAACAAACCCTGAGTTAGAAGATTCCCCTATAAAGTTTATTGCTAGATTGTTGGATGTCTCTCCATGAACATACCATGTATAATAGTTGTTCATAAATCCATGCTTACACAAATGCATGGAAACAACCTCAGGGTTCCCCCATTTTTTACATCTACATTTTGAACAAGGACACCTGATTTCTGATTTTGCTTGGGGTCTAGAAAATGCAAATCTTACGAAAAATTGTACCCCTTCTTTAAATTCATTAGTAACAAAACCACGATCGTCTAAACGACAATCTATCCAACTACAGTCCTCCATCATTTAATTACCTAATTTAAATTTCAATTTGACAATATATATTAACATATTAGCGTTATAATCAAATCAAAATGTCAATTACCATATATGTCAATAATCATACGCATATTAAACTTAATTTTAATAATTTGAAATAAATTACTTTATATTTAAATTTATATATAAATTTTATATATAAATTTAATATATATAAATATGAATCTAATTCAACAACTAATAAGTAGCTTAATTTCAATTTTAAAATCAATAATTTAAAATAAATAACTATACAAATAAAAAGTCAATAAAAATATTACTCTAGTTCAATACTCATATGCACTTCAATTCCGCCCAAAACCTTAAAATCCCTAAACTCTATATATATAACTTTAATAAAAATAACATTCGAAGCATACATATCTCAATATCAATCTCAAACATAATCCCAAAATCAATAATTAGAAACAAATAACTTTGTATATAAAACTTTAGTATAAATATCGCTTTAGTTCAATACTCACATACATCTTAACCTCAATCTTAATATCAATTTAAACTTTAGTACAAATGAAATACTCCAAAATCTTGAACTTTATTTATACAAATTTAATAAAAATAACACTTCAATTAGCATATATATTTCAAACCCAAACCAAAAATCAATCATTTGAAATAAAGAACTTGATATACATAAATTCAATATAATCATTACTCTAATTAAATAGCCATGCACATCTTAACCTCAATCTCAAATGTAATAATCTAAAATTTCTAAACTTTATATATATAAATTTAATATAAATAACATTTCAATTACCATACATATTGCAATCTCAAACAAATTAAAAGAAATAAAAAATATATAAAAAGAAACTGCATTTACCTCTAGTAGTGAGTACGATAATGCTGTACAAGTTGGATTTAAATCTAAAATTTGTAAAGAAAACAAAAGATAAGTTAGTATAAATCCAAAAACCATTGCAAAAGTCTCCACATTTTCAGTGAAGAAACTAACCATCCAAGAGACAAGGAGGGGCGACGCAGTAGTAGTCTCTTGTTGGGGAGGTAAGGTTGAGGAGATAAAGGCTGGATTTTGAACCTACAAAAATAAAAAATGGGCTCCCATAGATCCAAATCCAAATTTAAAATATATAACTTTATAAATAGAAAATCAATATAAAAGTCATTCTAAATCAATAATTTAAAATCAATAACTTTATTTATAAAAATTAGATATAAATAGCACTTTAGTACAACACCTATATGCATCTAAACCTCAAACTCAATTTCAATTTCAACCTCAATCTCAAACACAATACTCAATTTCAATATATCATTTTTATTTTTGCAAAGTTCAATTTCTATATTCTTAAAACAAATTGTATACGGTAGTAGTAATGTGCCGTCCCCTTCTAACATCAATCATTCAGCTATAATATTTTTTCTTCTAATGTTTTACATTAATCATTATTCAACTATAACACTTTTCTTATAATGTTTCGTTAAAAAGAAAAAAATCTTATGGACCCATTTTCCAAATAAAAACAACTGTTATTTAATTGGATCATGCACTTGTTCAACATCATGTTATTATCTACCTTTGAATGGGGGCATGGCCCTTTTATGTAACCAAACAAATCAAGGGACAGCAACCAAACAATGTCTAAACACATTAATATAGTTGTTTACACCTAAACTAAACCAATAGAGTAAGGCCACATGTCAAGGTAAAGCCCAATTATCAAGAAAATCAATAGGCTGGATTTGGGCTGGGCTGACTTACAATTTAATGGCCCAGACGGATTGCCAAGGAGGTTGGATCTTGGTTGGTAGAAGATAAGATTAGATCTGGTGATTTAAGTTTGATTTAAAATGGGAAATTGAGGGTTTTTAGGTAGTTATTTTTAAGGTTATTGGAGATAACGTTAAATAAAAATCATTGGATAACTGTCAAGTAACTGCCAAACCTGCAACCCCACTACCAGATCATGGAGGAACAGTACCGGAAATCATGGAAGGAGGGTGACAGCACTGAAGCAAAGAAAAACCAGAAGGAGAGATCAGTTACCGGCCTGCCCAACACACACACAGACTGCCCAGAGCATGTTTTTCAGCTTTCAGACTGCATTTTCTAGATTTCAGCAATAGTTTCCAGATTTCCCAGATTTTCCAGATTAGTTCATAGCCTTAGCCTAGGTTTGTTCATCTTTGTTCATATTTCCTTCCGCAAATTCCAGTTTAGATTTATTTTTAAGTATTTGGAAGCAACTTAGCCTTCAAAACAGGTCTGCCCTTTTGATTCAGTTAGTTCTTCTTCTTTTTATGGATTTAATTATGTTATTCATTCATGTAAATAGGTTGAATGTTTTCTACCTTTGTTCTTTTGTTTCTGCACAATATCCAGACATTCAGTTTATTTAATTTCAATTTCCAGATTTGATTCTATAAGTTTTTAGACTTTAATCATTTCATAGTTTCTTCTTTAGTTTTAGTTAATTATTATGGGCTGCGTAGTTCAAATCATTGTCTGTTATTTTACTTTTTCTGTTGTCTGCGAATTTAATCTTCATGGCATGTTATTTTATGTTCTTTACTTCATGTTAGTTTAATTGCTTTAGGATATTGCATTTATTTTAGGATTTGTAGCTTTTATTACACTTGTTTGGTTGTGAAGTCCTTGGAGGTTTCCAAGGCAATTAGTAACCCATTTTGCAGAACTCTACCCTCTATTTTGCAACATCGTCTGGGGCGCAATTCATTCCACAAACATTCTTTCCAGCCATCCTATTGGAGGTCGACCGCTGGAAAGGAGAAGGGTCGTTTGGAAAATCCTATTTTCTTGTTTTTAGACAAAGCAAGTGGCACGCCTAACATCCAACTCACGTGGTAGAGGCGTCTGAAGCCATGCCACCGAGAAAGAGCAGAGACAAAGAGGTTCAACCAGCCCAGGCTGAACATGCAAATGATCCCATCACTTTTCTCCCAGTGTCACCTTTGGCAAAACGGTCCTATGGCAATCCAATTTTCAAAGAAAGGGATGCAGACCGCAGAGATGACTTTGCTGAATCAAGTAATGTGTTTAGAGGTATGACTGAGCGTCTGGATTTAGCATTCAAAGAACAGAACCAGGCTATGCGGAGACTTGTTGAGAGTCAAGCAGAATCCTCCAGACGTGAGGAAGAGTTAATTACACAATGTATAGAAGAGATGAGACGGGTCTTTGAAAAAGGCACTAGGGTGATGCGAGAAACTGGGGAAGAAAGTCACAGACCACTGCAGGCTGTTTCAGAACAAGTGGTTGAGCAAGTGCGACAGCCCAGACATGAGATCCTTCCTTTAGTCGTTGAAATGCCCAGACAGATTCGATAAGCCCCAATCCCAGCACTCGAGGGGCAAGGGAATCAGCCTCATCCTAATATTCAACAGCAGCATTTTGATAATCTATGATTCGCAGACCACGCCAACCTACAAAAAGGAACATGGTGTGGGTGAGAAAACAGAAAAATGAGATTGTAACCCAGACTTTACTAAAGGAGGATGACCAATCTTCAACCTCTCCAAAGGTGGCGTCTGTCATTGTGAGTCCAGACGGAGTTTTGAAAGCAACTTTTGAAGCACAAGAACAGTCTGGGAATCATGGATCTGAATCAAAAGAAGATGACACTATTCATTTTGGGGAATTCTCAGTGAATTTGTCATGTCCAGTGCTGACATTACCCTTGGTTTTCCAAGCCAAGAAGGAGGAGGAATCAATCGTCTGTGAGTTCCCAGAACAGACAGAAGAAGAGGTAAGTGTTGTTCCAGCTCAAGATGATGAAGAGGAGGACATGGCTGACAAAATTGTGTTTGAAAAACCAGAAGAAAAGATGGCTAGACACATTAGGCCACTTTATATCAATGCTCACATGGATGGGACTCCAATTAGCCGTGTGTCTTGGTGGATAATGGAGCTGCAGTCAATGTCCTTCCAACTTGCATGCTCTACAAAATAGGAAAGTCTCTTGATGATTTAGTGCATACTGAGGTTACAATTAGTGATTTTACAGGAGGGGTGAATCATTCAAGGGGTGTGCTGCCTGTTGAATTAACAGTGGGAAATAAGACACTGATGTTTGCGTTTTTTGTGGTGGATACTGTTGCTACTTATAATGCACTTTTGGGGCGTGACTGGATTCATTCAAGTTGGTGTGTCCCTTCTTCACTTCACCAGAAACTGATTTTCTGGAATTGTGGCAAGGCTGAGGTCGTGTCTGCAGATGATAAGCCTTTTTCAGCCAACACTCACCTGGTGGAGGCTAGATATTATGAAGAAGACATTGGTACCATTCGGTTTTTTGGGATGGATAGACATGGGAAACCAATTGGGATAACAGCATGCAGCAGACCGTCTTTGTCTAAACGTGCTGTGGAGGAAGTCTGTGATGAACTTCTTCGGCCAACAACAATAATTCCTTATAGGCCGAAGGGGAAACTAAAAATTGAAGAAATCTAATGAAGCAAGCTCGTCTGAGACAGGAAAGAGAAAAGGCCGTGTTGGAGATAACA